GAGAGAGAGAGAGAGAGAGAGAGAGAGAGAGAGAGAGAGAGAGAGAGAGAGAGAGAGAGAGAAGCACGTATCCAAGATCAGTCGTTGTGTAGGTAGGTCGCGTCGCGTAGCGTAGGTAGGTCGCGTCGCGTAGCGTAGGTCGCGTAGCGTAGGTAGGTCGCGTAGCGTAGGTCACGTCGCGTAGCGTGGTGGCGTCGCGTCGCGTAGTTTTCCCGCCCGCCCGCCAACAGTCCTTTCGGACCGAACTCCCCAAGGCACCGCGGCGATCCGGGCCATAAACGGCCCGACGGCCCGGATTCGCCCGCGATCTTAAAACTTTAAGATCGCGGGGCGATCTGGGCCGTCGGGCAGGTGCAACCGCGAACGGCCTGGATCGCCGCGCGATCTTAAAGATCTAAGATCGGGGCCCAATCTGGGCCGTCGGGCCGGTAGGTCCAAAGACGGCCCGGATTTCAGAATTCTGACATTAGCGATTTTTATAAGTGTAGGGACTCTTGCTCACATACAAGAGCACAACAGATTCATTCAGCTCATTCTTGGTCATGCACTCCCCACATGAGGTTCAGTGTGGGTGCACTGATGTGAGTGCTATGACTAATGTGTGTGCGACTGTCGTATGAGCTTTGGTGTGCACCATCCCAGTCCTCACGTACTAGAGGTGGCTTCTCTCAGTCCTCTTCTTCCAGCCATCAAAGAAACAAATAACAACGTTGCAATTCAAAGCTCAAACATAATTGTTATTATTTTGTTGATAAATAAAGTCAAGAAAGCAAGATTGAACATATTGGAAATTAACAGGTGTGCACCAAGGTACACGGTTCATTGCAGTGCTTAGATGAACAACATGCTTCCCTACTGCCATAAGCACAACGAAAGCTTAATTTGTATTCCTGAAGCTTAATTTGTATTCCTGAAAGCTTAATTTTTATTCCTGAAAACAGTGAAAAGTCACGCAGACATAACAAGTTACAAAAAGCGACTGCCCGTCATCCACTTCAATGCACAGATTGGCATCCTTCACCACTGACTCCAGCCAGCCTTGAACAAAATCTAGGTCACGTCCTCTGCCTGGGTTGAAGGCAAAACGGCATCCTCCTTTTCTAAGCACAAAATCCTACCTTCTTCCCCCAAATACAACATACGGTCATTATAGCTGCGTATTTAGACTGAAAGATACCCTAAATACAGCTATAAAAGCCTATAATCACTGTACGTTGTATTCGGGGGAAGACGGTAGCCACATTAAGGTCAGTAAAGTTTCTTCTTGGACGTACACTGATCTAAGTTCCTCCTGAGAAGCAGCCAATAACCCAGATTTATACAGGAATCAGAATGTTAATCGCTGTTCATTCACACACAAGTCCACAAGCAGCCTTAGCTTAAAAATAAATAAATAAATAAATAAATTATAAAAACATTGATACCGGCTACTCACCTTCAACATTAACCTCATAATGGAGTGCGTAGTCATTGACGCGCGGATTCGGCGCAGCCATGTGAAACACAGTTGACACATCCTGCACAGCTGTATCATCACCATCACAGACCCATGATAATCAGCTACATTAAAATTTAAAAGTTAAAACTTAAAACCTTTTTCTTTGCCCTCTCTTCCTCCAGCACATCCTTTAAAACAAGAACAGTAAAGAGAACATTACCATGGGCCATGCACAGGGATGACTCGCAGGAAAAGAGAGAGAAATGTTCCTTTTTCTTTTTCCGACTCAGTCTCCGCTGCGACACCCTGCACAGCTGTATCATCACAAACCCATGATAATCAGGCTACATTCCGACTCTATTTTTTTGCCCTCTCTTCCTCCAGGACATCTTTTAAAAACTGGAAGTCTGGAACAAAATACAGAACATTAGCATGGGCCCTGCACACAGATCACACGCATGCAGGAATAGAAGACATTAGCATTGCGCACGTGTGGCACACAAGTGCACAGGAGCTGTGCAGCGCACAGGGAAAATACTACATAGGCTCCAAGGAAAAGAAAAAGGGGTCGAGACTCGAGAGGCTTGGATGGTCACCAGCGAAAAATTGTTTTGGGATGAACAAAAAAAAAGTCAGGGAGAGTAAGGTCGCCACCTACTGGTCTACAGTGATGTCCGAAGGACCTATTTCAAGCTATTTCTCATGCCCAATGGGAAAAAAAGAACAATCAGTAAAAAAAAGAAGAAAAAGGAATTAGTACGACTGTATCTGAGCAGGATCTCGTCTTCTGTAGAATCTGTGCCTGCCAACACACACAAACAAATAAATTCTGCTGGCACGGCATACCAGCAGGTGGCGTGCCATGCGCCACAGGTTGGACTGCACCAAGCGCCGTGTGACATGTGTGCATTGCTGTTTGGCCGTCTGCAGATAGATCACGTTGAACGAGCTCTGAGAAACAGGACGAGCATGCAGACGTCCCTGCCACACATGATGGCAGATGACGATGTGTGTGTGTGTGTGTGTGTGTGTGTGTGTGAGAGAGAGAGAGAGAGAGAGAGAGAGAGAGAGAGAGAGAGAGATGGTGGCGATGATGATGACGACTGATATTTTGGTTGTTTCTGGACGTGTATCGTGGTTAGATACATGCACTTGAATTTGCCATGTGTAATGACCCGCCATAACACAGACTGAGAACACTGCTGATTTCTGAAGTTCTGCCGATGGAATGAATGCCTTGCTGAGATTCCCGCATTCTGCTGTGTTTCTAAGTCTGTATGTGTGCGTGCCTGTGGACTTGCGTGCCTGTCTGAGTGCTTGTCGGCATGAGTGTGTGTGTGACCCGCAAGGGCACTTGCTTGTTTGGCAGGCCCGTAGGGCCGGTACTTACCTGTGGCCGTGGCATTGAGGGTTGCAGCAGGGAAAACACTCAAGTAGCGGAGCCAGGGGCCCGTGGTGCTTAGAGCAGCGGAAAAACACTCAAGTAGCAGGTAGGCCGGTACCGCATCCAGTAGCAGTAGATGTACCGGGTACTCAAGGCCGAGCAGAAGAAGACAAAGTTGGCATTTTTAGAGGCCCAGTAGCGGTAGGCTAGGTCTAGGCCTGTACCAGTCCATCCAGTCTGAGTCTAGAGCCTGTACGGGCAATATCAGAGTCTGCAATGATGTTTCCCTCTGAAAAGGGAGGAGGTACCGGTTGCTTGGGAGGCCGAGCGGCCTGGAAGTCACCGCCCAGGAGGCAAGCAGGCCGCTATATCAAGAGGCCGAGGCAAGAGCTCGGCCTCATTCTTCAGTGTGCGAGTTGGGCGTCACGCTGTTGGAGCGCTGGTTGGAAGAGCACTGGCTGCTACAGCGGTGCTGGGAGGAAGAATGGTGGAGCTCGGCCGGTAGGAGGAGGAGGGAGAAGGGGACCAAGGAGGAGAGTGGCAGGGTACTTACCTGGCTATGGTAGACACCATCTTCATCACCTTGTTAGGCGCTGCATCTGGAAGGCCCCAGTGGGGGTAGTGCCACATCAAGGGAGCTCGGGACAGAGTCAGGCATGGCGGTTGAGTGGGCAGCGGCATAGCTGCATGGAGTTGACAAGGGGACAGAAGGGCAGCAGCATAGCTGCTTTGGGTTATCCTTTGGACAGGAGGGAGAGCCCTCAGTACTCCGCCATAGCCTCAGCCTGTATGAAGAGGAAGAGGAAGGGTGGCCATGGCTATGATGGACCTCATGTTGTGCCTGCAGTAGAAGTGGGATTCGGACATTGATTCTGGTTCAGCCATTCAACATTATTATTGTTATTTCTTGTTTGAATAAGAGGGGAGAAGATGAGGAGGAGATTGGTTGGCGAGGAAGAAGAGCCTTGTCATTGGTCTATGCTGGAGTACATCATCTTCTTCTTCTTTCTTACTTCTTCTTCTTCTTTCCCTCTCTCTCCTCTCAAGTTCATTCATTTCTTTTTGCAATTGGACGGCATTGTACTTTCTGATGTTTGTATACTTCAAAATTGGCCAGGATCGTAACACATGTTTGAATCGGCCGCGATTTTTATGGCTGCTGTTTTGCTCATATCTGGACATGATCGTGGTTAGATACATCTACTCGGGTCTGCCTGATTGAATACAGAGACAGTTGGTTCGTTGGGCATGCTGTTAGATATATCTACTCGGATCTGCCTCTTCGAATACATAAACAGTTGTTTCGTGGGGCATGCTCTCTCTCTCTCTCTCTCACACACACACACACACACACACACAACGGAGTGCAACAAACGTGCGCGTGCGCGAGAGAGAGAGAGAGAGAGAGATGATGACGACAATGATAACAATGACTGCTATTTTGGTTGTTTCTGGACGCGTATGGTGGTTAGGTACATGCACTCAAATTTACCATGTTTGAATCGGCCGCGATTTTCATGGCTGCTGTTTGCTGATATCTGGACGTGATCGTGGCTAGATATATCTACTCGGATCAGCCTGTTCGAATAGAGAGACATTAGTTGTTTCGCGGGGCATGCCCACACAGTCGTTTCTTCAGGGCATGCTCTCTCTCTCTCTCTCTCTCTCTCTCTCTCACACACACACACACACACACACACACACACACGGGAGAGAGAGAGATCCCCCAGTTTTTGGTTATCGTCCGACATCTCTTCTTCCATGTCTGTTCCATCTCTTCTTACGTGTCTGTTTCATGGGCTGCCCGAACTTCGCATGCCTTCCACCTGCTTGCAGCTCTCCAACTTTTGCAGCCGCGGCATTGCCGCGGCGGTTCCACTTGTGCTAATAATGGTAACTTTTGTGATCAGAGGTCCCCCTAGGTAACCCCTAATCCAGGATGTGCAGAAGCCCTAGAAAGCCATGAAGATGCTAGAAGCTTTGTAAAGGAGGAGAGAGGAGGGGGGTTGCTTCATATGCAGGGATCCTAGCTATACCATTCCCTTCTTTCCTGAACTTCGGCAGTTGCCAAAAGGGAATGGCCAGTAGGAGTCGCAGGTACTCCTACCGGGGCCTTAGACTTCGCTAGGCAGGATGAAGCGCACTGAGTTGGAACCCTCCTGTCTGCAGGCCCCAAAGGCAGAAGCTGATGTAGGCCCCCATCTAGTTACCTGTCCAGAGACTGCTTGTGTTAGAGCCTCTCTAGGTGGGTCCCTGGCAGGCACCGGCGCACAATTGATCACTCGCCGCCAAGCTTGGGCTGAGATGAAGAAGAAATCAAAAGAGCACCTTATTCTGGCAGACGTAAAAGTAAGTAGGACTCTAGTAGGCGCATCAATTAAAAGGCTGAGCTTGCCCCGTGAAGATTGATGGAAGTTGGTGGTTTGCATATCTTACAACTTACAAGGGGTTGCCATTCCCACCATCAGGGTTGTCCTCTTTTTTTTTTTTTTTTTACGGAGGTAACCACACAAATCACTCCACCAACTAAGAACGGCCATGCACCACCACCCATAGAATCAAGAAAGAGCATTCAGGCAGGGTTGTCCTCTTGTTCGTCATCGTCATGTTTCTTCTTCCCCCTCCGATCCTCTCTCTCTCTCTCTCTCTCTCTCTCTCTCTCTCTCTCTCTCTCTCTCTCNCACACACACACACACACACACACACACACACACACACACACGTGCTTCGAATCCACGTGGTTCAAATCCGAATTTCCGGCGCAAGGGCGTGACAGAAAGATGCATGCCGCTCACGAGGGCATATCGCCACAAAAACCACGTGCTTCAAATCCGGATTTTCGGCGCAAGGGCATGACAAAAAGATGCATGCCGCTCATGAGGGCATATCGCACACGGACTGGTGAAATGGGACTGGCCGTCCAGTACAGAAATCGCGGCAAGGGCATGACAGAAAGATGCATGCCGCTCATGAGGGCATATCGCCACAAAAAACACGTGCTTCAAGTCCGAATTTTCAGCGCAAGGGCATGACAGAAAGATGCATGCCGCTCATGAGGGCATATCGCGCAGGGACTGGTGAAATGGGACTGGCCGTCCTGTACAGAAACCACGGAAAGCTGCGCCCCTTGCTGACAGGGGCATGCAGGAATGTTCAGAGGCCCCAGAGGCACGACAGGGTAAGTGGTCCGTAGGAGGGGCGCAGCGCAAAATAATAGAAATTACAGGGGCGCCAGATAAATTTTCCCTTATTTTTATCTTCCGCCTTCCTTCTTCTCCATCTCCTTTCTCCTTCCCTTTTCCTTTCTTCCCTCCACTATTAACTCCTCCATCTCCATCAGGAGGTCAACCACCCATGCTTCTAGATCCTCCTGTTCCCACCACTTGACTGATCATTCCCTTGCAACAGGCTTCAAGCCCACTGGCGACCTCATAAATCTTTTTGTGGGCTAACTTATATGTTGATCCTACTAAACCCGTTCCGTTTCCATTTATCGAGCTTAGCATTCTGCCTGACGGTGAGATTATCTATCGACAAGCGTAGAGCAGCAGTCTCATTAGCGGAATGGAGCGCTACCTGGGCGAGAAGGGAGACCTGGGTGGCAGTTGCTGCTTTAGAATGTTCTTTCAACTTGACTACTACTGTCTTAACCCGAAAAACATGTATGTACATTCTGCGTAGCATCGCGTTCGTGTTTGGAGGC